ATATATATATATAATATATATATATATATATATATATAAATATATATATATATATACATATATACATATACATATATATATATATATATATATATATATATATATATATATATAATATATAGATATAATATATATATATATATATATATATATATATATATATATATATATATATATATATATATATATATATAAATTATTCGTAAGTAATTGGAAGATATAGGTGTTTGGAAAATCGGTTTTTTCGAAAAATCGAACTTTATTGATAGAACCAAAAATATTTATCCACAGGTAAATAAAAGCCATATTTACATGCCTGCTATGCATTTATATTTTTAATTGCATATAGAAATCAAACAAATAGTACAGTATCTGCAACTAAACATATTCTAGGTACAGTATAGACGAAAATTAAAGATTTACTAAGCGTCAATCATTGACGTTTAACAAAATCTTCAATTTTCGTCTGCCAAAACAAATTTACCCATTAAGGAGAGGCTATATGAGTAGGTCATGTGTTTTTTACGGACAAATACTTAATATTGGTGTCTCTCAGCTTACTTTTTAAAGCCACGCAAGGCAATATATCTAAGCAAGTCATCGAGCAAAAAGACAAAAGAGGGAATATAAAGGGAGTGGGGACAAAAATATTGTTAGACAGGAAGTGCTATCTTGAGCGGCCACTTTAAACAAGGAAAGACAGTCTCTTTCCTTGTTTAAGAAATCAAATTTAGTTTGGTTATGTTATTATTTGTCCCAACTGTCACATGAAATTTTATTTATATTGAAGTTTTTTACCAATTGTGTCCCTTTTTAGACTATTATCGTTAATATTTAATTAAAACTTTCTCGTCTGAAAAATATTTTATAGCTATTGTTAATAAATGTCGGAAAATTTAAATTTAGCGCCTTTGCATTTCCGAATACGTCCGCCATCAGAGGCCACTTTTTTGGCCTCCTTTTCATAACGATTAGATTCCCTCTTTTGTCTTTTTGCTCGATGAAGCAAGCAAACACTACTGCAGCATCAATTATGTTTTCATCTTTATTACCTGAACTTGCAGTTGATGAGGTGCTAGCGGTGATGTCATTTTTATTAGTCATGAGGTCTAAAATTTCGCTATCCTGCTTAATTTGGTACTTGGGATAATCAGCGTCGAACTCATACATTGTCTAACTATTCACTGTCATAAGTTTCCGCAAAACGCGAAACATTATTCTATGCTTTTTTTTAAGTTCTGATCAAACCAGACTTTTATAAAATGGCCTTTTTCATTTAAGATGTCACATGATGGTTGACTTGGGTTGTTCTTAAGAAGCAATTATTTTTTCTCTACTTTCTCTACCACTTTTTAACTGATAGACTCTAACAGAGGGTATAAATGTCAACGTAGTTTCTTGCTTTTATCAATCAAACCCATGAGTAATCGGTGGCGGCCAATAACATTAGCACAAGCTAAGGCATTAATACGATCCCTGTTTATGTTAGAATCAGGTGCTGGTAATTTATGACAGAACGAAAGGGTTTTTCCTAATTTCACTTTTCAATTGAGCACAGTTTCGTGTTTCGTCTGCAGTATAAAATTTTTCAAAGGCGTAATTTTCTTTCTTCAGTGACTAACTTGGTTTAAGTGACAATTTGAGTTTGACAGTTTTTCTTATTATATTTAGAGCTCACGATTGCCATTTCTCAACTCAAATCGTTTTAACCAGCCTGTGCTTGCTTGAAAATTTGACGATAATTAAAATTTTTCCTTAAATTGACCTGCTTTTTTACAGAATCAGATCAGAAATAGGTTTTCCGCGAGATCTTTTGAGTTAACCACTTATATGCAGTTTCTTAGTCTTATGACTTGTTACAAGAATCAAGCTGGGATATAAAGTTACCTATGATCCTCTTCTGTTTTTTATATCTAAATTCTTTTCTTTCAGTTTTCAAACATCATACTCTTTCATCGACTTATTAGTAACTTTCTTTATTCTGACTTTGAAATTACCTACAACTGGTACATGATCAGAATTTATGTGTGGCCCGGGTATTTTTTGACAGATGAACAGTTGCTCCTATACCTCTTATTTACTAGCATTTAATCAGTCTGATTTCTTACAATCTTTTACACAGAACCCTGTGAATTCTGTGAAAAGTTCGTAATATTAACGCTGCATATGAATGGTGTGAAAAAATTAAAATGTAATTGAAATGTTAAGAGAACCACCGTTAGACAAGCTATGAAGTACGATACTCTCTTTCTCTCTACAGTCCTCACTCCCGGAGGTAGTGGAGTGGTCATCGTGATTAGTTTTATTTCTTGCTATAGTGACTCACTGTGATCAACAATCCAGATATAAGGGCTGTGTCATGTGCAAAACGTAGGTATATTGGTAATTTTTCGGCCATTTATTGGGACTTTTTTCCCATTATTGAAGCGCTCTTCTTATAGTATGCTTTCCATATATATAAAATAATTATGGAGACAGTATACATCCTTATCAGATACCTTGTTCTGGATGGAATTCGTTAAAAAGTGCATCAAGCACTCAAACTGGTTCAATATTCTCTTCGTATAGTTCGTATAGTCAGAAGTAGAACATCTAAATAAAAATGCATTAGATATAGAGGTGACAAACATTCGAATAAATAGTGTGATTTGAAACGCTCATAGAAACTATAAGGAAAAAGGAAAAATCAAGATGGATAAACTCACTCAAGCTACTAAAGATCTTATAAATAAAAAAAGAGAATTAAAAAAATAATACACAGATAATTTTGTAACACTTAAGACAGTTAAACAAAGATATCACAAAATCCAGTCGAAAAGATGTCAGAAATTACAACACTGAATACATAACTCAAGCCATTGATAAAAATAAAAGTTTAAAGGTTCTGTGCCGACAAATGACTGAAGGATCGAAAATTATTTGTAAACTTGTAAATAAAAAAGGAGAAACTACAACAAATAAGGCAGATATTTTAAAAATTGCTCAAGATTTTTACTTAGAATTGTATAAGCGAGAAGAACTTCCAGATCCTGATCAAAATCAAATACCAAAAGTTTAAAATGTAAGCTCAGAAGACATCACAGATATCACAACAGAGGAAATAAAATCAGCTCTCTCGGAGATGAAAAACAATAAATCACCTGGAAAAGATGGGATAGTCATTGAACAAATCAAAGAAGGAGGAGGAAAGTTAGTAAATGTGTTGAAAAACATAATGCAATAAAAACCATAATCTACAAAAATAGTGACATTTTAGACCTAAAGAACTACAGACCTATTAGTTTGCTCTCCCAAAGATACAAACTATTCATGAAGATAATAACAAAATGGCTTGTGAACAAACTAGATAGTTACCAACCTTGTGAACAGGTTGGGTTCCGCTCCAGATACGGAACAAATGATCATCTACAAGTTATATAACTGCTAAAAAAGTGTACATAGTATAACAAGCCTATCTTATAATCGTAGATTGTGAAAAGGCGTTCGATAATATAGATCATCATAAAATGCTTCGAACATTGGCTGACTGCCGCATTGACTACCGATATATCGCCTCCATTAAAACTATTTACGAAACTAGTACTCCGTGTGTCCGCCTTCATGAATATACCAAGAAGTTTCGTATAGAATGTGGAATTAGACAGGGTGATACTATCACCCCTAAATTGTTTACAGCTGTTCTTGAATATATGTTCAAGCAAATAAAACGAGAGTATAATATGGCAATTAATATAAATGGGGAAGATCTGAACCACCTAAGATTTGCCGATTACATCGTTTTAATTTCTGATAAAGTTGATAAAGCTACAAAAATGCTGCACACGCTTAAATGTTCAAAAACAATTAGTTTTAAAATTAACACCTTAAAGACAAAATTTATGACCAACCTTATAGTCAGCGGTAAAATTTTGATTGAAAGCCATAGCATCGACCAAGTAATAGCTTACAAATATCTAGGGCCTAAGATTCGCTTAGGCCGAGATAATCAGACAACTGTAATACAAAGAAGAATAGGTCTCACATGGGCTGCCTTTGGTAGATTGAATAACATTTTCAAGTCTATTATCCCAGTTTGATTAAAAAGAAAGGTTTTTAACCAGTGCCTTTTACTGGTTCTTACATATGGTGCTGAAACACTTACTCTGACAAAAAGAACAATAGATAAAATAAGGGTTACACAACACGCTATGGAAAGATCAATATTAAGTATTACCATCAGAGGTGAAGTACCAAACCTAGAAATAAGAATAAAAACAAACTGGATGCATGGCTAAATGGGCTTGGGCCGGACATGTTGCCAGATTAACGGATGATAGATGGACCAGAAAGATTCTGGAATGGCTACCAAGGCAAGAGGAATTTCGAAGCAGAGGACGACCACCGACTAGATGGACGGATGATATCAAACGCATCACCACAAACTGGATTCAAGAAGCTCAACATAGAAATAGGTGGAAAATTTTACGGGAGGCCTACGTTCAGCAGTGGACAAATATAGGCTAATTGATGATGATGGTAGTTCGTTATAAGCGAAATTGAGTGTTGCAGTACGTGTACTTCTTTTACTATCTGTCATAAGCTATGACAGCTTTTCTATTATTTATCTTATGTTCAGAAAGTGTTCTCGAGTACTTCTAATTTGGTAAATCCAATTTGATCTTGGCGTATTTCTCTTCGTAAGAAAGTTGTCAGTCTCTCATTGATTATGTGTAGCATTATCTTGCTGGCATGTCAGATAAAAAGAAAGAACAACAAAAAGAAGAACACAATTTTGTAAAGAATAATTTATAATTCGTTAGCTAAGCAAAAATATTTATGGCCATATAAAAAATTTAATATATATTAAAAGAAAAAAGTTATACTAGAAAAATAAAAAGGCAACAATATAAAAATAATAAGACCACATATTACATAAATACCGTGAAAGCATACCATGTGTATTTGTCAGAATTTTTATTTGGTAAACTGGGGGTAACTAATTCAATAATCACAATAATAAATAAAAGTAATATATTTATTCTCTTAAAAGTCTACAAAATACATTATCACAGCTTAAAGTTAAGAACCATATGAGTAACTGCTTTGGGAAGCAGCTGAACCCGAATTGCCAGAACTTACTTGGGATTCGTATGTTGCTTTATTTTGACTATAGGCATTCTTTAGATCCCCAACTCTAGCGACTTCTCCTTTCTGAACAATTTTTCCTACAGGGTAATCAAAGCTGTAAAAGAATCCCTTTGGTGGTCCAGTGGAGCCTTCTTCTTCATCGTATTTTTTATCATATTGGCCTTCGTTGTCCCAGCTTTTATCGTAATCACCGGAATTATCAACTTGGTTTGATTTGGAGTTATCTGAGGGCTGGTACTGTCCAGATTGGTGGTATTGGCTGCCCTGTTGATATGATCCTGGTTGTTGATTTGCTCCACTTTGCTGGTATGCACCTTGTTGGTATGATCCTGGTTGCTGATTGGTTGCACTTTGTTGATATGTACCTTGTTGATACTGTCCGGGTTGTTGATATCCTCCTTGTTGACTGTGCTGGTTAAAGTTTGAAGCAACTGGAGTGTATTGACCAGATGGTTTGTTTTGAGTTGGATTTGCGTAAGAATTTTGGCTTTCACTGTATGCTCCAGTGTAATCGATTTGATTAGGATTATTTAATTGCTGAACAGAACCTGAATATTTTCCTTGTTGACCCGGTTGTTGGTATTGACCAGTTGGTTGATATTGACCAGACTGTTGGTGCTGACCAGAAGATTGCGATTGAGATGATTGATAATATTGACCTTGTGGAAGGGATCCTAGTGGTTGACCTAAAACAAGAATAAAAGGTAGATTTCAGGAGGAAAGATTGTCAAAGCATATAAAAATAATTCTCTAAGCATAAACATAATACACTTATTGGCGTTACTAATTTAATATGATTGTAGTAGTAGTAAATACAGAAGAATAAAAGAGAAGAATAAAAGCCTCGAAAAAACATTCCAACTTAAACTAGGTCATCATACAGATTAGCAGCTAATCTATAGTATAAATGAAACTAGGTAAAAACCTTCATAAGACTGTCTGGATCAAGCAATATATCAGAAGATTACCCTGCGTTCATTGCAGTGAAATCTTGTCTCATTTTTGAAGATTTTTTAAAGTTTTTAAAGATATATAATAAAAGCTTAAAGCGCTCATATATTTATATTTTTATTATTTCAAACCAATAAATATGAATTCCAATCAATTTGTAAATTGTGAATTATTTTAACATCATTAACATCATGTTTTTTTATCATATTTACTGATTGTAAATTTATACAAATAAATTAATGCAAAGAACTATATTTAACGTGTTTAATATTTCACCAAGAAGAGATAAAAGTAGAAGCTTTACCACATATCCGAAAGTCCGAGTTTAATAATGCAGCATAATGTTAAGAGAGTCGATAAGAAAATCTTTAAAATAGTCTCCAAGGGATTGTTTGATTCCTAATCATCTTTCTACGTGTACGAGTCTCAACTCACATCATCTACATTCTTAACAAAAATTCGGTAATCAATAACCTTGTTCCCACAACAATACGTCTATGTGAAAATGTGTGTATTATTATTAATCTTACCTTGTTTAGCTTGACCTGATTGATGATACTGTCCAGTTGGTTGGTACTGTCCAGTTTGTTGATACTGTGCAGCTGGTTGATATTGTGCGTTTTGCTGGTAAACTCCAGAATTAGAGCTAGATTGTTGGTAGTACTGACCTTGGGGTTGATTTTCGAACATTTTCTTAAATTCGGCTTGGCCTTGGGGCGATAATGGTCCACTAGCGTAGTTACCGTTAGCATCATAAGGGGAACTGAAATTAATGTCAGCATGTCGTGGTTATTTCAATAAATTAAAAAAAAAAACGAAATATTTTAAACATAAAAAAATTTTCAAATGCAATTTAGTTACTACATACATCCTTAATCCCAATCTTAAACTAACTAAATCAGAATTACAAAACGATTAGTCAAAATAACGACTTGAAAAGACGATTCAACAAATCAAACTGCATAAAATGATATAGAAAAACAAATTCTAACACTATATAGTTCCTTGATTAGTTGACATACAAACACTAGTACACTAATATAATTTTTCTATCCTCCTCCTCCTTATTCCTAATCTCTTTTGGGATGTGGTGACACCATCAGGCCTTTACAGTTTTTTTACGATTTCCCCCCATACTTCTCTTTTTTAGGTTAGTTGTTCGGCTTCATGTAACCCTTGGTTAATCAATATTTTTGTTTGATCTACCCAATGGCTTGGAGATATTCCACTAGGTCTCTTTCCTTTAACTCTACCCTCGACTATCAGTTTTTCCATCGTACTTGTTCTTCTATAATGTGAATTTTTCTATAGATTTCTTTAAATATTCTATTACATTGAAGTAAATAGAAAGTAAATATAAAATCTTCTTGGTTCATGAAAACTAAACACACTACTCATAAACATCATTCTCTGTGGATTTATCCCTATGTTAGGTTAGCTTCTCCAATTCCATTTCTCCAGGTTCCTATTTTGCATTTGCATAACGCATTTAGGCATTAAACATGCTATAACTAACTAAATCTCTTGTTTTTTATCTTCTTCTTCGCGTCTCCTGTTGGTTCGACATTCCAAATAATAACCTTCACTTTCTGCAATTTCGCCCCTAATATAGTTTGACATGAACCACTTTGCTTAAAATTTTTATGTTTTTTAAATTGTGTGCATTGTGTGCATACGCTATCAGTACATTCTGCAATCTTACATGGTAACCCTTTTAGGGTCTTCTTCTTGTTTTTCTTTTTATATAGACATGACTGTATGTTTTTCAATGTGCCTCCAGTAAGCTGTCGTTCCATCGTGTTCGTGGTCTTCCTATTGGGAAACCGTCTCGTGTCGTCTTTACTAATCTCTTTGTTGCCATTCGGCTTATATGATCGTTTCATTCTACTCTTCTATTTCTAACCCAGTTCTTGATGTTCTGCACCTTGCATCTACGTCGTATATTTCTACTTCTACCTCTGTCCCATAGTGTCGTACCATCAATTTTTCTAAGCCCTTTCATCTCTGCTGTTACTAACATTCTTTTTGTCCTCTCTGTGCCAGGTCTTGTTTCTCCCGCGTATGCCATTATTGGTCTGATGACTGTTTTTTAAATTCTGCCCTTCGTTTTTTTCCGATATTCTTATTTTTCTATATTTGTTCTGTTTGTTCTATTCACTTGATCTTTCACTTCAGTTTCGAGCTTTCCGCAGCTAGATAATGTTAGGCCTAGATATTTAAACTCCATCACTTGTTTTGTTATCTGACCTTTTAACTACAATTTACGTCTTAGTAAATTTTCTGTTGTAACCATGCATTTTGTCTTTTTTTGGGGAAATTAACATGTTAAATTTTCTGGCGGTTGTATTAAATTGGTGCAGCATACGTTGTAAATCATCTTGACTTTGAGAGGGTAGTATTGCGCCGTCTGCATAGCACATTATTTAAAGTTGTTTTTCTCCCATTTTGTATCCTTTTTTAGTTTTTACTTTTTTTTATTATTTCATCCATAAACAAGTTGAACAATAGAGGACTCAGGAAATCTTCCTATCTTATCCCATTACCAGCTTCAATAGGGTCGGTTAGTTTTTTTTCTACTTTTACTTTTATTGTGTTGTTTTGGTAGATATTTTCGATAGTTTTTATTATTCCTAGAGGTGTCTCTCTTGCGTACAGTAAGTGGATAACATCTTTTAGTTTGACCCGAGCAAATGCCTTTGTAAGGGCAACGAAACATAGATACGCCGGTTTGTTGTATTCTAATGATTTCTCTTGCACTTGTCTCATTATAAATATAGCGTCGGTGCATGATCTTCCCGTCCTAAAACCTTCTTGTTCTTCTGCTAGTGTTATAATTCTATTCAGTTTATTTTTATCACTTTGGTTGTTAATTTTAGTGTTGTGTTTAATGAATTAATTCCTAGGATTAATAGGATGCTTGATCTCCATTCTTGATGAATTCTGTTTTGTTCTATTATTTTTTGGATTAGTTTTAATAGTTGTTTGGCCAGACGTGCTCCTACGTACTTTAGAAATTCGTTCGGTATTCTGACCTCTACTTGTAATTTTCTATTTTTTAATTTCCTTTACCTCTTCCATCTCAATATATATCTTGTCATCTTGTTTTCTCATCCACCTAGTGTATTACCCATATTTCCTTCTAAATGTGTTTTGTTTTTATTAGTTTGTTCATCTCTTTTCTTTGTCTTCTAATAATTCTCCATATTTCTTTTTGTGTTCCGTAGTCGTGTTCTATCTGTTTTGAGAAACTCTACCATTTTTCCTTTTTTATTTGTATAACTAAAGTATCTATTTCATTTCTGATTCGTTTATAGTGGTTGTATGCCTCTTGTATTTTATTGTGTTTTGTATTGTAAAAAGGCTTTCTTCGTTTCTTCACATCTTGTCCTCACTTCCTCTCTAAACCATGGTGTTTTCTTTTTTGATATGTTAGTGTTCGTTATTTTTCTCTCTCCAAGTGATTCTGTTGATGCGTTAATTATGTTATTTTTGTGTTTTCCCAGATTTCCTCGATATTATTTTATTTACCCATCGATTTTTTGTGATATTATTTTCCTGTATAAGTATTCCGTGGAGTTCTTATTTAGTCATTCGACTTTGACTTTTGTTTGAGTTGCCGGCGCTGTCTTGGTTGTGAAGTATTTGAGGATGATTCTTATTTTACATAATACTAGGCTATGGTCGCTACCTACACTTGCTGAGTTAAGGCATCTTAGTCAATTATTTTCGATGGATATATAGCTCTGTTGGTTATAACACAATCTAGGGTGTTCTTGGCAATCTGCCGTCATTCGTAATCACTATATTAGCAGTCAATCGAAGTATATGAAATTAAGCGATTTCGCAGATGTGTATTGCTTTGAACAGGTGGAAGTTTTATGATTCGATCTAAAGATAATTTAATTATTTCAGATTCGATCTGGAGATAAAATGTTTGCTTTTAAAAAGTGGAAAATATTAATCATTGAAGCAATTAAAAAAAAAAATTAAATAAAAACGTTTGTAAAATTACAACATAGTGTTGTCAAGTTGCTATTGGTTAGAATATATTAAGGTGGTACTACAAAAAGGTATCAAGAATGAATTTTCATAGGAATAAAAAAGAAAAAAAAATCGAAACAGAAGAATAGAGAGAAATAAATACTATATGAATTGGTAGCACAATAAAGAAAAATTATTCTCTATAATAAATATCCTATAATAATATTTAATTACAATTTATACACTGACCGGCAAAATAAGTGGCCACCCTATAAATTTCCGAAAATAGAAATTCATTGGAAGTTTTATGCATTGTTTAACATCGTATTCTCTCAACAACTTTTATTTTTAAAACACAAAATAACCATTATTGCTTGATTTCTTAGCATAATTATTTAATTAGAAGGCTACAAAAAAAAAATAGTGTAATATCGAAACGAATTACAAAAGAATAACAAATACGACTGAACTTAAACAAATTGTCTAATATCAGGTAATATACCCTAAAACATCAATAACCGTTTGCATAGGATTCAAATTCTTCATGAAGCATGTTTTGAAGTTCTGCACGACTTTCTGGCTAGCCTGGTTGACTTCTAACCCTACGATGAAGTTCATCCCAAAGATGTTCGATGATATTCAGATCAGAGCTGCTATATGGCCATTCTAGAGTATTAATTTCTACATCCTCCAAGTAATTTGTCACGATTTTTGCAGTCTGCGGCCGTGCGTTATCATCCATAAAGAAAAAATTGTCTCCAGTAAATGGACCAAATTGAACTACTGCTTCTGCCAACACATTCTTTATATAACGCTGAGCATTCAGGGGGCCATTGATGAAAATAAGTTCAGTTCGAGCTTCAAATGAGATTTCAGCCCAAACCATGATACCACTACCGCTAAACTTTCTTCTCTATTACATAAAAGCTTGGATATATCTTTCATTTCTATGTCTCCGAACCCTCTATCGGCCATCGCGAGACTTCAAACAGAACCGCGATTCATCAATACAGAGAATTCGGCTTTAATCCTGTATATCAGAGTGTTGATGTTGTCGAGCAAAAATTAATCGATTTCTACAGTGCCTTGGTCATAATTTGGGAATAATATCCGACCTTCTAGCCATTAGTCCCCTTTCATTAAGGCGTTTTCTAACCCTTTTCCTACTTACATTCACATTTCGAACCTCGTGCAGATAATTCTTGCAGCAATTGCAGTGGAATGGCGATTTCTCAAAAGTTCGGCGTGAGTATGTACCAGTCTCTATTAAGCGATGGAAATCTCTCCGTACTGTAGTTCTCGAAATACCTTAAGTTTCACAAGGAATCTACGTTCCTGTAGTTGGCTGTATACCATGTATTAAAAATTTAATTAAAAATCCTTTGTAATAGGTATATATTTTAGGCCCAAACGGGCTAAGTTAAAAAGACAAAACGTTTTCGGAAACCATGTTCCATCATCAGTGTCCTAGAAAATAGTTAACCACTTAATTAAAAAGAACATAGGTTAAAATTTTGACTAAGGTTAATGAAAAATGTGGTTAATACTTACTAGGAGTACATGAATGTAGCCACCAAGATTAAATATATGGGTAAAAAACCCGATAACAGATGTTTAATTACATTAAGTTTTAAAATTATGTTATAATGATTTAAGATTATAGAGTTACCGATGGATTAGGTAACATGGCGACATATGACTCCACGTTGAAGTTGCTAGTCTCACTATTACCAGATTAAATGACCACTTCGACTTCAGTATCTATAGGAAACCTACACAGACTGATCACATAATTCCTTTCTCATCCAACCACCCCATCCGCAAAAAACGCCTTAAGACCCTGCAGGAGACTGCTTTCCCCAGAGACCTCGTTACCAAGCCCAATTATGTATCCCATCAATTATATGGATCAGAGTGGAGTATATAGATTAAAATGTTCAGATTGCAATGCTTCCTACATAGGTAGGACATGCAGATCATTATCCTCACGTTCTCTAGAACACATAAAAAGAGAAAATACTTCCACCTTCTCCCAACATCTCAAAGAACACAACCATACCCTCAATATCCCAGAAGACGTTTCACTTATCCACAACATCCCCCAAAAAAACTTCCTTAAATTAGATTTATATGAAGATCTTGAAATTTTAAAAGAAAAACAAAAAAGCCCAAATTGTGTCAATCGTCATGTATCCTTCAATCGAGACTTCCTTCCTCTTCATCGCCAACTATTCTCATAATTTTCACCACTAATTTACCTCTCAACTAAAATCCACATTTATCATCAAACTTCAGTCCATTCCAAAACTTTTACTTCAACATAACATACTCTCCATCTCTCCCCTCTTCTCTTCATTAAACCAAACTTCAAGTCTAACCCTCTATATCTATTACTGTCCATGCTTCTTGTTAGCCCCCCAAAAATCCTAAACTATTCAGCAACCCTTTCTAACAAACATTTCAGTCCTCTTTTTACATTTTCACACAATTCCCTTAGGGTTTGGTAGCGGACCTCTGGTGATCTCAGCTTTCTGTAGTGGTTCAGTATCCCACCATTCATTCAAAACAACCATAAATTTCTTTCTTACTCAATTTGAACATAGCCATCTATTAATCTTTCAATTTCAAGTTAAGTCCAGTACACAACGCAGACACATTCAACTTATAACTTATTCATCAAATTTTTTCATGTACCTAGTGTTGTCTTATGACAGATAGGGCTTTTTTAAGTTATAATTTGAGTTCTATATGATAAACATAATACATAACCATATCCCAACCATCAAATTTTGTTTATTTCACACAATAGTTGAACGAACACCTTAAGATCCTCATATCCATTATGAATAATATCAAATTACATAACTTATTCATCTGCAAAGATGACACTACAAAAACTTTTTCGTTTCACTTAATATCAACAAAGCCAACCATACCATCATCACAATTTAAGACAACTTATACCTACAACAAACCTAACTTATAACTTATCCTTTTTATTTCTCTTGTGCCTAGTGTTGCCTTATGACAGATAGGACCTTTCTTAAGTTATAAGTAGATTATCACACTTTCAACATACTACATAATCATGTCCCAACCATCAAAAAATCTTTCGTTCATTACATATAATAGCTAATACAATAAAACTTCCACACCTTTTAGTCTGTTACTACCTTGTCAGACATTTATGTTCATGAACTTATAACTCAAAAATTTTCACATTTGCCAGGTACCAAATGTTGCTTCTGACATACAGGGCCTCTATATTTGAGTTAAAAGTTAAATAACACGTGAACATTTACTAAAACAGTTTTATTTTATTCATACAAGAACACTTCCAATTATAAATAAATACATTTAGATCCAACCATTAACATCAATATTTTCTAAAATTCAACCTTCCACATGTGTCTAGTTTATATTTTCTGGGTACCAAATGTTTAAGAAACATAAAGGGCCATATAATAAAAATTTTTCTATATTACATTGCTACATACATGTATAGTTGGTTGCCTAACTACAACCATACAATTTTTGCTCCCTTATATCATCTTATTTTCATAAATTAAAAACTACAACTTTGATGGTTGATACTGTTATATTAGTTTACTTAATTTTCACAATTTTAAATAACGTTGGCTTTTGTCTTAAGTAGAAACATACAGCTACATTGACTGCTCTGTGATAATTTCCGTCATAACTTAACAATATTGTCATCAAATGTCATTGCCAATCAGTTGCACTCATACAGTCCTCGAAGACATACCGTCTCAGGACTAGCAACTTCAACGTGGAGTCATATGTCGCCATGTTACCTAATCCATCGGTAACTCTATAATCTTAAATCATTATAACATAATTTTAAAACTAAATGTAATTAAACATCTGTTATCGGGTTTTTACCCATATATTTAATCTTGGTGGCTACATTCATGTACTCCTAGTAAGTATTAACCACATTTTTCATTAACCTTAGTCAAAATTTTAACCTATGTTCTTTTTAATTAAGTGGTTAACTATTTTCTAGGACACTGATGATGAAACATGGTTTCCGAAAACGTTTTGTCTTTTTAACTTAGCCCGTTTGGGACTAAAATATATACCTATTACAAAGGATTTTTAATTAAACCTTAAGTTTCGGATACATACACTTGACTTCTTTCATCTTGTAGCAATGCAAAAATTCAAGCAACAGCTACTGTAACTAACACCATATTTTAATTATTTACTTAGTCTAAATCCACGTTTAAAAAGCTAAATTAGGTACTGTTTAATTAACTGTTTTCAATTTAGAAGATCAACAACGACTACAGAAACAATCACATAATCGTCAAACTGTAAAGAACAAGCATAAATGATCGCAATAAATATTTAAATTAAGACGCAATATGAAACACTGCATAAAACTTCCAATGAAATTTTATTTTCGGAAATTTATAGGGTGGCCACTTTTTTGCCGTTCAGATGAAAGTTAATACTTACGCAACTGGACGTTGATTTCTCTCGGCTTCTTCATGCCATCTTGCTAGAAACTTATCCTTTTCAGCTTTAACTTCCGGAGACTCTTCAATTGGCTTTGGCAGGATTTTAGGAACATTATCGATTTGATGAAATCCAGTTCCATCGTCCCAATATTCGACCTAAAAATTTTTTAAATTAAAATTAAATATAAACTAGATATAGTGAAATATTGAATTTGTTCAGTGTGTTCAGGACAGTTCTATATGCAGAATAATGCAATGGTTAATAAAATTATGGTAGATTTTTGCAAAAATTGTTCTAAATTTAATTCCTCTTATCGGAATTTTGTCACATATCTTACAGGAATAAACTAATAATTACAAATATCCTTTATCTAATGGTTCACGCTAAGAGCAGTTCTCAAAGCAATGAAGTAATTATATGAACAATTTATTAATTTATACCTGTGCTGTCCAAGAAATTGCTTGGAATAGAATACCTGGTAATAAGTAGGTACATACTGATGCTTGAGCTATTAACAGAAAGTATAAAGATTATAGCTGAAAAGGACAAAATTGGAAGAGAGCAACAATTAAGAGGCCATACTACTTGCAAATTAATTAATTAACTAAAAAATGTCAAACAAGCATACACTAGCAAGTTCCTCACAGAACTTGCTGAAGATAATCTTACTGAATATTTACTTTGGAAAGCTACTAAATATGTTAAAACGTCCCATACTACATCCAGTACTAGAAGTGCCTTTTCAAATAAAAGATGATGGAACTTAGGCTAGCAACAATTTAAAAAAGTAAATATCTTTTCAGAACATCAGGAACGAGATTTTGACCTAAACAGCATTGCTGAAACTTAGTTCAATTGATATCCTGAGAGCATTACACTAGTTAATTCTGATAAAGTTGATGTGTAAATTAAAAACAATCTTGATTCGAAATAAGGACTACCATTAACCTGATTTTTATTGATACTAACAAATCATGACATTTGAATAGCTTAGTCATTTTTTGAAATGCAGATCTGGCTTTCCCTATCCTGCATTTGACTTCTAGAAAATGGTCCCAATTTTCATTAGTGTTTGTACGAAGTAGGTGTTTGTTTCTACTCTTTCCTAAAAGATGACATTTAGGAAGATATATTTGTTATTTAGTAGAATATGGCCCAAATATGAAACTTTCACTGTTTTAACAGAGATCCAACAGCTTTCTTTGGACGATAGCTCTTCTTAGGACCTCATCATTTGTTACATGATCCAACTATGAGATTCTTAGCAGCCTTTAGAGGTCTTACTTTAAGTGACCAGGTCTCACTTCCGTTGATCACGATGGCCATATGTAGCATTTCAAGACCACAGAACTTCACAGTTAAGGAGGTATTTCTCAAATTTAACAAAGGTATTTCTAGCCATTGCCACTATTATGCTTACTTTATTTTGTATATGCTTTGTTGTTGTTACGCTCGTATTTCTCTCCTATTCCATTACTGATATTCACTAAAGTTCTTGCAGTGCCTATATGCTGTTCGCTGTTATGGCTGTAACGTCAGCATATCTTAGGTTATTAATAAAAAGACCATTATTTTAATACTTGTTTTTAAAAATGCAATTGGAAATATCTTTTCTACATAATTGTTGAACAGTAGTGAAGAGAGAATACAATCTTGTCTTACGCCTTTCCTTATCTTAATTTTTGTTGTGTTTGCCTTGTCGATCCTTGATTTTATATTTTAATTCCAATATAGTTGTTGAATCATTTTTATGTCTTTGTCGTCAAGTCCAGTTTTACTTCACATAAGTATTGAGATTCCAATATTCCAAGATTTATGAAACTTAGATCTATTGGGACCGTGCAAGTTCGGAACAGCGACACCTGGTGTCGTAAATCAGCCAAATTTACTGCGCTTTCATGTTAGATCGAGGTTACCGGATAACTGTCAAGGACGTGGCCTCAAAAAAGAATACGAAGAAAAAGTAAGATTGAGGTTATGTCGGTATGTTATTAAAAGGTAACCCAATAAAGGAAGAAGAAGAAGAAGAACGTTGATGTAGCGTAAATACAAATAAATATATTATTGAATTACAGCATTACTGTTAATATGGATGCAATAATAAAAACTGGATTTGAGAAAGTAAATCACCAAATAACTTTTCAACCAAGCACGAGTCAAAGGGAAAAGCTTTAGTAGTGGCAAATGTCAAAAAAGAATGGAAGAATTATGTGGAGTGGAAGAATTAAGAAAAATAAATTACCATAAATAATGCTAATGCATAAATTAGCAGGTTAAGCCCATGATATCATCATATTGGTTTGAACAATTAATTCTTTCCCTGTAAACTTTTGGACAGCGAATATATCTTAATGTCATCTTCAGAAAAACTTGAACTTGCATTTTTGTAAACTTCAAAAAAATAAAATTCAAACATTAAACTTGATTTTTGAGTTAAAATGAACTCTAAGTGAGTGTTATGAAACTAAAATTTACACTTAAAAGTGAACTTTTATTTATTATTTATTTCAAACTGACTTTAAAATCGGGCGCAAGAATAATGCATAATTTAGGTTATGTTACTTATGCTTTTTTATGATATAAATCCACTTTTCTCTTTGTAGTAGCTTTGTGCTTCGAAGTTGGAAACGAATAAAACTTAAATTGACAATTTTTTGTTGTATTTTTACAATTTATAACACAGCATTTCCTAAATCCCATTTTCTTCAGTGACAGAAGGTGTAAATAAACAAAACGAATATGAAATATGACAATTGACAATATGAATTTATGAAATCTATAATCTATGAAATGTGCAGTAAAAGATGCAAGATTTCTCCACTACTCACTCACGATCGTTTCTCGTATCCCCTCCAAGTACTTGCACATCGCCAATACTTTGCAATTCTCAGCTGAACTTACAACTAAGAATCAAGTTCCTGGATTGGAATGTGAAACCTGTATTATGAAGATTAATATCATGAACAAATTAGAAGCCTTTAAAATTTGGCAATATTAAAGAATGCTCAAATATCATGGGTTCAACGTATCTCAAACATAGAAGTCTTAAACAGAATTGGGCAAGGCAAAAGTAACTTGATAAAGATAATAAAAAAGAGAAAATTTTAATATCTAAGGCATATAGTGGATACTGCAGTTAATACTGAACACAAAGATCAAGGTAAAAAGAGAAATTTCTAGGAAGAAATATTCATGGCTCCGAAACCTTCGCAAACGAATTGTCCTATTAGCTACATGACGCGCAAGATCGAGCACAATATCGGCAAATAGTCATGCAAGCTACCCACGTCTAATTTGGGCACGATATTCAAAGAAGAAGATGTATCAATTGTTCATGTCTGACGTTGTAAAATGTAAGAAGCCTTTTGGTAATCAATAAATCAAATAAAAACCTTTTTATTTGATCGTAGCATTTCCGCTTCAGCTAATTCATGCAAAAACGTTTTTGTAATCTAATTGAGTGTCTGCTTTCCTTTTTTTATATTTGATATAAATTTGCTTATGTATTATTGTAAGGTACGTCTTTAATTTTAATACCGATTATATTAAAACGCACTATAGAGGAAAATAACAGCCTAAAAGTTCTACGTAGAAAGCTAACGAATGGGAAATGCGAAATTTATAAATTAAGAAACAAGCAAAATGAAATAATATCACGTAGAGACGAGTTAATACAGGTCGTCGAAGAGTTTTACGAGGACTTATATAGAAGTAGACGAGAAGATAAAACAGGAATACAAACAGCCATTTCAAAGAAGATCAAGAATCAAGGTTCCGAATTAATGCCAGAGATAAAGCTAGATGAGATTCGACAAGCATTAAGAAAAATGAAAAATAAAGCCCCAGGAGAGGATGGAATCGTAATAGAAGCTATCGTAAATGGAGGAGATATGCTATTAAATAAATTAAGGAAACTATTCAATCTATGTTTGCAGCAAAGAGAGGTGCCCAAAGAGTGGAACAATGCTACAACCATCCTTTTGCATAAAAAAGGAGATAGAACGGACCTAGAAAATTATAGACCTATTAACCTGTTGAACCACATATACAAGCTCTTCACTAGGGTAGTGACATCAAGATTGGAAAAAAAAAATAGATTTCTACCAACCGAGAGAGCAGGCAGGATTCCGCTCAAATTATGGTACCAATGATCACCTCCACACAGTAAAGACACTCATTAAAAAATCTATAGAATATAACAAACCTCTTGTTCTCATTTCCATAGATTTTCATAAAGCGTTTGACACGATCGAATTAGACAGCCTTATAGAAGCAATGAATGAGAGCAGGATTGACCATAGGTATAGTGAGCTTATTATCTACCATAGGTACCATAGGTAGTATTTGCTGACAGCTCTGAAGCCCTCCAGGAGTTAATGAACAGAATCACAGAGGTCAGTCAGAGATACGGACTTTCACTAAACACCAAGAAAACAAAATGCATGATGATCTCTAAGAAGGAACAGCAATTTGAACAAATCAGTGTAAACGGTCAACAAATAGAAAGAGTAAAAACATACACCTACCTTGGTACGAACGTCAATGAAAATTGGGACCATTCCATAGAAATCAAATGTAGAATAGAGAAAGCAAGATCTGCATTTCAAAAAATGGCCAAGTTATTCAAATGTCATGATTTATCAATGCCCATAAAAATCAGGTTACTACGATGTTATATCTTTCCTATACTGTTGTACGGAGTTGAGTCATGGACTCTCACAGACGCCACCTGCAAGAAAATTGAGGCTTTTGAAATGTGGCTTTATCGTCGCATCCTGAAGATATCGTACACCGACCACGTTACTAATGAGGGTGTTCTGTTGAGAATGAAAAAAGAAAAAGAGCTGTTAACCACAATAAAAACAGCTAAAATCGAATACCTCGGTCACATCATGAGGAACAGCGAAAGATATGGACTGCTGCAACTAATCTTGCAGGGAAAAGTAGAAGGAAAACGGGGACCAGGAAGGCGAAGGATTTCCTGGCTGAAAAATCTACGAACGTGGTTCAATACAACAACCACAAATCTTTTTAGAGCAGCAGTGTGTAAAGTGCAGATTGCTATGATGGTCGCCAACATCCGAAACGGATAGGCACTACAAGAAGAAGATAGTGAGCTTATTTATAATATTTACAAAAATGCCACTATGACTGT